CTGCTGTGGCTTTTTTTTTTAACATCTGGGTAAAAACCCAGGCGTGCAAGCGCCGCAAGGCCCACAGCGATGGAGAAAGGGGAGAACTCGGGCTGGCAGGTACGCCAGATGCTATGCTGGGGGCTTTGGGTTACTTTAAAGCAGGGTCCTCATCGGGGCGGTCCTGCCCGCCCCCCCCGTGGGGGACATTTAGCAACATCTGGGGACATCTGTGGTTGTCACACCTGGGATGGATGGGCCGGGGAGGCTGCTCATGTCCCATAGTGCCCAGGACGCTCTGAGGTGGGCAGTGCTGACGGGGAGAGACTCTGCCATAAAGATGAGCAGATCAGAGCTCCCTGAGGGTCCCATCTTACAGATGGGGAACGGGAGTGTAAGGACCCAGCACTGAGGGGCAGGGCTAGGCTGGGAGCCCAGGGGTGCCTCTTAGCAAGAATCAACCACAGCAAATGAGGAGGCAACCTTTAACGTTTTGGTACCCGACCCCCCGACTCGCCTCACAAATAGGCGGTGAAATGTGAAATCTTACACCTTGCTTCTGTTCCAACAATTTACAGGGACGTCTTTCCAAGTCAGTGACCGGGCATTCCGTCAGGTGTGGTTACGCCATCACCAACGCCCGTATCTGTGCCACCTGGACGTACCGGTATCACTCCTCTCGGGCTCACTCAAGTGTGCACTGACCACTACTTCCCACTGCGTGAGCAGCTCTATAATGCACGCATGCGTGCTAACATCTCTAATGTCTGTCTTTGGTCCAGGAGGCATTTATGCTGGAGTGAGGTAGGGATCCAGGAAGTCGGACTAAGAGCTCTCTCCATAAAATTTGGAATTTTGTACAACTGGACCCTGGTGAAGAAGCTTTGGTCAGAGGCAAGTCTTGCCACGTTTTTACGATGGTGCATCTGGGTGAGTGGAAGGTACTTGTCTCTGCAGCTGCATCTTTGTCCCCAAACCTCCCGGGGACAGACGTTGGGGCAGGCCCCGGTTGGAAGCTGCAGGACAATCCCACCGTAGGCAAAGTGTCCCGTAAACTGCTCTCCCAGGGAGAGGTGGTTTCATAAGCGGGAGAAGGCTAACAGAATGCAACAGGTGCACAGAGCAGCGCCCACAACCCGGACTGGGCTTGTCTCCAGCTGGCCAGAACCAGAGCCCTGTGGCCCTGGGCATGCTGGAGCAGTGGATGGAGCTGAGTGGAGCAGAGCAGGAGGCAAGCGCAGCCAGGAGGGAAGAGAGGAGCCACAGGCACATGGGGTCTGCAGGGAAGCTGGAGCGAGTGTACGCACGTGTCTGGGCACGTGTGTGCATACAGGCGTGCGTGCAGGGCGGGTGGGGAGGGTTGCAAAGAGATTCTGGTACCTTGGAGCCGTGCCTTGCCAAAACCTCCCATTCACCGCTAGTCAGCGCGATCTCCTCCTTGATGGGGCATTTAAATTCATCTGGAAGTAAGGAAAGGAAGAGGTGAAGGGGGCCCCAGGCAGCCGTGAAGGGGACTCAAAGTCCCTGAGGCCAAATTCCACCTGAGCAAACCTGTCACAGAGCCCCGTGCCAGCAGGGCCAGGTGGGAGATGAGAGTGAGCTGGCTGAGCCTCCGACGTGGGATGGAGCGGGGACCCCCCCACTGGCCACGGGGGCTGTGTACAGGATCCAGCATCTTCCAGGGAGAACCGGACAGCTGCGTTTGTATGGGAAGCACTGATCTTAGAACCCTGCAGAGGCCAAACCATCAACTTCCGGGCTCTCGACCTGTGACCTCTTAGCACATGTTCGGATTCTGGAGAACCAGATCTGGGTTAAAACGCTTTGGCTGAGCAAAGGCTCGGCTGAGTTTTTATGACAGATTTTTTGGATTTTGGGGGGCAGATCTCACTTTTGAATTTCCACTAGGTAAATAACTACGGGATGCCTGCTGGTGTGTGTTACAAATTTATTGAGACACTTTACGAGTGATGGCTGTTTTGTTCTGGGCACAGCTGAATCTGGGATCCTCCTGTGTCCCTCACTCACGTGGAGGCTGGACACGGCCAATCGGTCGCTCGTTCAGATCTTTTTTTTTTTTTTAACATGGAATGCTTCGCGAATTTGCCCGTCGGCACAGAGGCCCTGCTACTCTTCTCTGTATCGTTCCAGTTCTAGTGTGTGTGCTGCTGAGGACAACACTCATTCAAATCTTTACGGTGCCGTTCTTGGTCGCGCCTAGATGTGTGCATACAAAAATGCTCTGCCGGGATTTTCGCTGCGGTCAGCCACCTCCGAGGGGATGAGGCTTCGGGAGCCTGGGCGGGGTGAGGAGTGAGGGGATCCCTAACGTAGGGTTACTTAGAACAGTTCAGTTTGTACAACAAACACTGATGTATCCTTTGCTGCCGTCCTTTTAAAATAAATGCAGGTTTTCTAGAAACAGAGAATGTCGCTGGGAAACCCCCACCACACGCAGTCACTTGCCAGTTTTGTCACCAGGACCACGTGAGAAGGTGCACACACTGAAGGAGGTGCTCCCGGGGCACCTGGACCCCCCGAGGCCCCTAAATAGTGCAGGCGGCTCAGAGCTGCGCCCTGCCAGCACGCACGGCCTCCGGAGGGGACGTGAGAAGCCAGTCTTTCCCTTTGTAACCTTTAACATGCTGTTGTGTTGTCAACGAGACTTCAGTTAAGAGTAAAAATAAAAAGGGGCGCCTGGGTGGCTCAGTCGTTAAGCGTCTGCCTTCGGCTCAGGTCATGATCCCAGGGTCCTGGGATCGAGCCCCGCATCGGGCT